TTTTGGTCAGGCTGGTCTTCAGTGTTCCTGATGGTGGATGTTCCAGATTCCGTTTCTGGGCCCTGGTCCTGGCTGCTGCCCTTTCGGGCCTGAAACACCCCCTCCCCGCTTTTCCCACTGCCTTTTACCTGTCCAGTTTCCTTCCAAGTTTCTCAATGAGGAAGGGTCTGAGGCTGGATTTGAACTCAGATCTTCTGACTGCAGACTCAGCTCTCCGTGCCCAGTGGTGCCCCTGGTGGCTGCAGTGATCCCCCTAAGAAAAGCCTTCTGACAGAACATGATTTCTTCATGTTTCTGGAAAAAGCGTGTCTACCCCACTGAGAGCCATGCCCCGGGAGAGCACGTGGGTCATCTTGGGGTGTTGGGGTGACGGCAGCCGTGGATGGACACCCCACGGACGAACCTGTTCGTGTCTCTAATTGTTCCCTTTTTCTTCTGACAGTTTGGGCACGAAGCCTTCGCCATCATCTGCCAAGGGCTGCTTCTCCTCACGGCTCCACGTTCCCTGCGGCGGGACCAGGGGCCCGGAGAGCGACCGCGCCGGCCGCGTGCCTGACGCCGAGGAGCTCGCCCGCACGGCCTCGGCCTCAGAGATGCTGCCGGGGCGCCTATCTGCCAGCCTTCAGCTGGAGAAGGAGGAGAGCAGGAGGTGAGATGGTGTCCGGATGGGGCTCCCTCCCACGGATACTCTCCAGCTTTGGGGCCAGGGCTCCCCTTCTCCCCTGTCCCTGTCCTGGGCCGCTGCGTGGAAGCCCCCCGGTATGGCAGGCTCCCGAGTAGAGGCTGCAGCAGACAGCCGCTGTCCCTCTGGGCCTGTGGCATCCCAGGGCAGACTCTCGGTATCTCAGCTCCTCCCAGCGGCAGTGACAGGGTCAGCAGGCGGCCCCCTCTGCCTTCTCTTCTGCCGAGCCTGGGCGGTGGGTGGGACTGCAGCAGGAGAGGGTCACTGCTGTGGGGAGCTACAGGCTAGGGGAATTTCCTTAAGGAGTTTGGGGGTTTTGTTCTATATCTGATCTCAGCACCATTTCTATAGTTGGTTTTGGAGTGGGGGGAAGGAAAGGGGAGAAAGGGGGAAGGGGAAAAAGAGTTGGGGAGAAAGAGAGAAAGGGAGAAAGGGAGAGAGAAGAAAAAGAGAAAGGAGGCAGAGATAGGAAAAGAGAAAGGGAGAAGGGGGGGAGGGAGAGAAAGGGGAAGGGGGAAGAGAGAAAGTGAGAAAGAATGTGGCGTGTGTGTGTGTGCACTTGTGTGTGCTGGCCTGCTGACCTGGGACCATGCTATCACATTTCAGGCCCCACTCTGTTCCTTTTAAAGCACATTGCCTTTACCAATGACTTTTTGTCTTGATGAGGACGTGCATATGAGAAGACCCCAGCTGATGTGGGGGTGGCCGGGACAGCGCCGGGGGCCGGCTGCTGGGAAGGCATTTTGTGCCTCGCCTCCTAAAGTGCTGCCCCCTGTGGAAAGAAGGGCAAACCCTTGTGTGTGTGTGTGAGCCCTGAAAAGATTTCTAAAAAGTCACGTCCTTTGTCCCCTTAGGTTCGAGGACCAGCTGTGTCGGTGGCTGGCTGGAGACCCCGAGCAGGGGCCAGACTCAAACCCCCTTCCCCTCTACCTTCCTCAAGCTCTCGTATCAATGCCTCAGACTCTTCAGCCAGGGCTCCGAGCGTCGGTGACCAGGAGCCCCCAGGTAACGTGGAACTCTGCTCAGAGAGAGCGCTTGGCCTGTGGGGCAAAGCTGGAGGGAATGTTCTCTGAAGCTGGGTCTCTGCTGAGGAGAGGAGCACAGCCTCTGGCTTTTGTGACTGGCACTAATGAGCGTGCACACGTGTTGTGTGTATGTGCACATGTACGCATGTTATGTGCGTGTGTGTGCATGTACGTGTGTGTGTCCTCAAGACCTGGGCGGGATGCCTGTGCAGGGTCTCGGGCTCCAAACCATAGAAGAGAACAGAAACAAAACAAACGTTGGCAGGGTGGGATCAGTTCTTTCTGTCCTCAGCTGTGCCTGCCCCCTGGCGTGCTGGCCTCGGCCCGGCCCAGGCGAATGCGGGCTCTCTCTATGTGGGGGTCTTCGTCCTGCGCCTGTTGGGACTCTTGTTGGCCGTGGGAAGGAAGGTCTGAGACCCGTCCACAAAGCCAGAATCTGACCCCAGCTTCTCTCATCTTCAAAGGACGAGAAGATCACTGACCGGCGGCAGCTGTCCCCGGAGACAGATGTGTCTTTGACTGACAAACTGAAGCGCTTGGAAAGCCTGATCCAAAGGACCAGAGAGGAGGAGCTAATCTGTGAGCGTCATCTCTCCACGCTGCTGGACATGGTGGACATTTGACAAGCCCTCGGGTTGGGGTGGGGGCCTCTTTCCATGAGGGGCCGTGCTCGACGACATATACATAATAATGTTCTCTGTGGATGCTCGACCAGCGGCTGGGACTGTGGCTGTAAATCATGGAAATAAAGAGCATGACTGTACAATGCCCTTGTCCAGTGGTGTTGGAGCGAGCGGCCAGGCTCTGGCTGGAGCCTCCTTCTGTGCGCATCCCAGGCCTTTGGCAAAACTCCGCATGTGCTCCCTTCTCTTAGCTGCCCTGCACAGACCTCTATCCGTGTGAGACTCCACTGTTTTCCTTTTCTCATGTTTATCTCCGGATTTCTGGTCTTGCCCGTGCATTTTATAACCCGGCCAGGGTGAAACGGAGCACACGGAGCCTCCCCCATGGGTCCCCCCTGAGCCTGGGGATGACGCCGCCGAGTGTGGGGTGTGCGCTGCTCCCACGTCGTGGGACGGTGAAGCTCAGTGTTGGCTGAATGTTAGGGATAAATGACTCATGACTCAAGGGTGAGTTCAGGTACAGGTTGGGCAGGTCTTGGAGGCAGCTGGAAGATCTGGGGCGGTTTAGTGAAGGAAGCACCATTGGTTGGGGTGCCGGCAATGCGAGCACCGTCGCTGGCTGGACTAAGGGGAGTTCCCAGGAGCAGGCTGGGGATGTTCTGCTGCCTTCTGGCCTGGTCTGACCCGTCTGGAAGCTGGCCGGCAGGACCCCCGCCAGGCGAGGGGGGACTTGACCGGGCCATCGGCCTATTTCTGGTCCCGGGGAGTGTTTAAGCACTTGGAAGTCATCAGCCAGTTTGTACTAAGTACCTACTACGTGTCAGGGACAACACAGCCCCTGCCCTGGAGGAGCTTCCAGTCCAAAGGGGAAGGCAGTCCCGTGCAAGTAGTCTGAAAACGGGAAGGACGCTCATGATTCAGCTGCCCAGAGGTGTCCACCTTTCGCCATGTTGTGGGGGTGGAAAGGCTGGGTTTGATCGTTAAGTGGAGGGCTTGGCTGGGACCAGGAGAGGAGAGGGGGCACGTGGGCAGAAATGGCCCAAATGCCCGGAAGCGCAGCACCCTGTTCCAGGGTGTGTCCAGAGGTCTCTGGGTCTGTCCCGGGTGGAGCCCCTCCGTGCCTGCCCTGGGCTTTAGGCCCCTCCAGGCAGGGGCGCAGGCCTCCTTGTACCCGCCTGAATGTGAGATCCTGTGTTCTGATCAGGTCTGGTCAGCCCAGAGGCTGGCGCTCAGAGGCCCAGGGCCTGCTGCGACCAGCCCGGGAAGGGCAGCTAGAGGGCGGCCTTGGCGTCATACTGTTTTTGAAGTTGTTTTCTTTTTTCCGCAATTCCATGTACAAACAGGTTTTGACATTCAGTTTAAAATGTCGAGTTCCAGATTCTCTCCCTTTGCCCCTCCCTGGCAGTAAGTATTTTCACAGAGGTTGGCCATCCTCTTTTCCCATTTAAAAGCTACCCTACAGCAAACTGCCCGTGCTCCTAGGCGCTGGGGGCGGGGAGAGCTGATGTGTGGCCACAACGGGTCCTCCTCCCAGAGGGCTGTGTGTGACCCCAAGGGGAGGGTCCTCACTGGCCAGGGAGGTGGCAGTTGTGCGGGGCTTCCAGGGATGGGGAACGATCTTCTGGGAAGAGGAGGATGAAACAGAGGTGTGGAGGCAGGAGCCTTGGGGTCAGAGGAAAATGTCAGGGCCGGTGTCCAGCATTCAGGGGCTGATGGAGGGAAATAAGAGGGGAGGGTTTGAACTTCCCAGGGATAAAGGGAGGTTGTTGGGGAGGAGAGGAGAGGCGGGATGGGGCAGATCTGGACTGGAGGCACCTGGGAAGGATGCTGGTGGGCAGAGGGGCTGCGGCCAGGACTGAGCAAGGGGAATGGCCCTTTCCAAAGATCCCCCACTCTTCCCGTTTGGTGCCATTTCATTTGGCGCCAGTGCAGTCTCCTTTGACAGATGAGAAAACTGAGGCAAACAGGGGGAAGTGACTTGCCCAGGGTCACACAGCTAGGAAGCGTCTGAAGCTGGAATGAACTCGGGTCTTGCTGACTCCGGGTCCAGCACTCTACCCACTGAGCCACCCAAGCGCCCATTATACAGGGGAGGAAACCGAGGGCCAGAGCAGCAAATGCCCGGGGCTTCATTTGCACTCGGGTCCGATGCCCTCTTGTGGGGGGTGGGGGTGAGGAGGCCACGGGCCTGCCGGGAGGAGGTGCCCAGTGCCTTGGGCTGACTCGCTGGGCAGCGGGACAGAACCAGCCTTCCCCGAGCCTCTGTTTCCCTACTTGTGGAATGTAAGCAGGGTTCCTCCCTCGCAGGGGTGGGGGCCGTGGGAAGCGAGTGGCCACGCCCCATCGGGTCTTGCAAGGCTGGCCCCGCCCCCTGGTCACCTTCCCAGTCCTCCTCCAATCGCGCGGCTCCCCGCACGCCCCGCCCTTCTCAGCTGTCCGAGCCGCAGCCACTGGCGCGCGAGGTCCGCGGCGGGCCCCGCCCCCGCCGCGCTCCCCTTGGCCCGGCGCTCCTCGCCTCATGTGGGCCCAGGTTGCCGAGAGCTCCCGGCGGGACTACAATTCCCAGCGTGCCCCGCGGCGGCCCGCCGGACACCGGAGCGGTTAGAGCCGTCGGAGGCTGCTATCGCTGCTGCTGCGCCCCGTTAGGTCCGAGCCCCCGAGTCCCGAGCCATGACGGACGGCACGTGAGTAACGCCCGCCGGGAGCCCCACGACCAGCCGCCCGGCCCGCACTCATGAGGCGCCTGCTGTATGCAGGGAAGGCTGGGGAGGATCGCCCCCCCCTCGGGGTCGCGCCGAGCCTGGGGGGGTGGGGCAGAGGCCGGAGGCGTGTCCGCCCCCCCCTCACTCGGGTCCCCCCCCCAGGTGCCTGCGGAGGAGGGGCGGCCCCTACAAGACCCCCCCGGCCACGGAGCTGAGCCGCTGGCGCCTGGCCAGCGAGGAGGGCCGGCAGCGCTGGACGTACGGCCCGGGGGAGGACGAGCAGAGGGCCCTGGAGGCCCACGCGGTGGGCCTGGACACGGTGGGTGCGGGCGGGGGGAAGGGCGGGGGGAGGGGCGGGGGGGCTTCGATCCCCCCCTCTGAGCTGAGCGCCCCCCCCCTCCGCAGGCGAAATACTTCGAGGAGCTGCCCCCCGCCCGCTCGGCCCGGGAGGGGGCCTGGAAGGGCATGAGGTTCTACTCGAAGCTCCAGGCCGAGGACGGCCACTGGCCCGGGGACTACGGGGGCCCCCTCTTCCTGCTGCCAGGTAGGGCCCGGAGGGGGGAGAGTGTGCGCGAGTGTACAGGGGAGCGTGTGGCCAAAGGGCGGGTGTGTGCGCGTGCGACTGAGTGTGAGCGTGGTGAGACGAGCGCGTGGGCATGCCTGCCTCGTGGAGATGGCGCGGGCTGTGCCGGACGGTGGGGGAGGCGGCCCCTCTGGTCCTGGGATCCTGGGGGCACCTGGCAGGAGTCCTCCGTCTTCTGGAGAGTTTCCGATAACCCCATGAACAAAAAAAGCGAGGAGGTCTGGTGCAATGATCGGGGCGGGTGGTGGGCTGTCACCGATGGATCGATGAATCCATCCTTCCCACCCTCCCCCAGACCTCACAAAATGCCTTCTCTTTGGAGGTGGGCTTTCTCTTAGTCTGATGTGCCCGCTGGGCACAACAAGACTGAATCCAAGGAAAAATGAGTGAGTCATTCTTCCAGGCCAGGTTGCAGCTCTGCGGATATTGGGACTGGACCCAATATCTGGTCCCGAGGAGCCTTCCAGCACCCAGGATTAGAAGAGGGTAGAAGCCGTGCTTTGGGGCAGGACGCCGTGTCCTCACGTATGCAGGCCGGGCTGAGGGGTGGTGAAGCTCTGGAGCGAGCAGAGCTCAGCTGCCAGCAGCTCTGTGGCTCTGACCCCATTCTCACCTGCAGCAGAATGCCCACCTGGGCAGCAGTCTCAGACCAGATGAAAGCTAGACATTCAGGCTCCCAGCCCAGACAGTTCCTTTCAGAAGTGTGCTTAGCACGCCTCCAACGTTGAGTCGAGGAGGCTGGAAGGATGAGCAAACAGAAACAGTCAGTGCCCCTGAGGAAAGCTAGTATGGTAACGGGAGCTCAAGCCGTAAACCTAGAAGAGAATGAGTCCAGAACGTCAACAGGGAAAAAACATAGCTTGGGCACAAATCCACCCGGAACTTTTGGGAGACATAAAGCAAGCATTTAAACAAAAAAAAAGGTCAAAAAATGATTTGAAAAACCAAACGAGAGCAGTAGAAGGGAAAAAAGGGAACAGAGACGAGACACGAAGGATCGAGACGTACAAAACCTTACCCGAGGAAATCAGCCCATGAAAATTGGTATTGGCCAAATAGACGCTAGTGACTCCACGAGACAGCAAGAAACATCAAAACAAAGTTAAAAGACTGAAAAAATAAAAGAAGATGTAAAGTACATCCAAGCAGAAAACAAGTGACCTAAAAACAGATAAAGGAGAGGGAATTTAAGAGTCATTGGACTGTCTGAAAGCCTTGACCGAGAAAGGAGTCTAGACATCATATGTTACAGGAGGACAAAGTAGGAATTGAAAGAATATGTTGGTTATCTCCCTCAAGAAACCCTCAAAAGAAAACTTTAAGGAACCCCTCGGCCAAAACCCTGAGCTCCCAGATGAAAGAAAGAAAACACTGCAGGCAGCCAGGAAGAAAGAATTCCAGGTACGGAGGAGGCATAATCAGGACCCCAGAATATTTACCAGCCACTAATATCTAGGAGTGAAGAGCTGGGCAGAGGATAGTCCAGGAAGCCAAAGATCTGGTCCTTCAGAACATGAGTCTTCCTGCCTGCAGGCGCAGTGCTCTCCGCCCACACCAGCCGGCTACACCGAGACGATACGTAGACTTCCCCAGAACTCTGTCATTGGGTCATAGAGGAAGTCTAGTGAGAGGGCTTGGGGAGTGGAAGGGGAATGAAGAGGAATATAACAGAACGTATAATGATGGGGAGGAGCAGACGCAATTATCTCTCATAGTCGGAGGGATGGGGTGGGAGAAAGCGGGTGACGCTTGAATCTCACTCTGATCTGAACTGGTTGAAGGAGGGAAGAGTAGTGTGTGTCTCCTTCCCTCCCTCCATCCCTTCCTCTTCTCCTGTCTCTCTCTCTCTCTCTCTCTCTCATACACACACACACACACACACACACACACACACACACTTTATTTGATAGAGAAAAGGGGCTGAGGGGGCATAAGAGGGAGGGAAAATGAAGGGAGGGTTTAGTCAGAAGCAAAACAAACTCTTAAAGACAGTAAACAGAAGGAAACATGTAAGAATAGGATAGAGGATTAACAATTAGCTGTGAGTGGGACAAAGTCACTGATAAAATGGAAGAGCGTAGCAGAGAGGATTAGAAGCCAGAATCCAACAGTATGTTGTTTATAAGAAACACATTTGAAGCAGGTAGAGATGCATAGAGGAAAGAGTTTAAAGGGGCAGGAACAAAATGTATATTTGCTTCAGATGAAGTAAAAAAATAAATCAGTAATAGTAATCATGATCTGAGACAGAACGACAGCAAAGATGGACCTAATTTAAAAAGATAAACAGGGAAACTACATTTTGATGGAAGGTGCGACGGGTAATGAATTACCACCAGTACTGAATAGATGTCTGCCAAATGGCGTGGAATCCAAATTCTTAACGGAAAAGCTGAATGAGTCACAGGGAGAAATAATCCAGCAACGGTGGAAGGTTTTGTTCAGTTTCCTCCTCTCAGAATTTTGGCTGGACACTACCTGTTTTTAGCAGGTTTCATGGTTGTTGCTTTCCCAATGGGACGGCGACAAAGAGGCCCAGAAAATGAAATAGAAAAGAATTTGAGAAAAAGAATGACTGAATGAAGGGGGAAGAGTGAATGATTTTTTGATTATTTAGAATGCATTACAACTAGTCATCCAAGATTGCTTTTGGTTTTTGTTTCTTTAACGTTCACCTGGGTTCTAAATTGATCTTCAGTTTTAGGAGTGTTTTTTTTTTCCACCTTTCAAATCGAGTGCTGGTCCAATTACAATCTTTTTTCCTTAATCTTTTAGATAGTATTGGTGTTCCTTCCTGATGGTGCTTAATATCATTAATTAAGGGGTGCCTGATTCTAGATTTTACTTTTTTCACCTTGAATATTATTTATATTTCTGCCTATGTACATATATAGGTATATATTCATACGTATGTTTAAAGTCTAGTGTAAGGATAAGGTTACCGTAGTTAAGTAATAGAGCTATTTTGAGGGATGGAGCTTGGAGGCAGAGGATTGGGGATGGGCTCAGGATAGACCAGGGCCATTGAGAGGGGGAGGATGTCTTTTTAGGGTTAGAGCAAAGGTGGATTGTAGGAGGCAATAGGGTTAGTAAATGGGAGTGATTTAGGGGTAAATATATAGACAAATGGGTAATGTTAACCAAGCATCGCTACGAGGGATGGACTAAAATTGCAATGAGAGTTGTGAATATTTTAACTTAAGTCACAAATCTGACATTGCCTTTTTCTTGTTGAATGTGTAACTAAACTGTGCTTGGTATAAGGCCCACAAAGTGGCGTTACTGTCTGAATTTAATATTAAAATATTATTAGATTTGTCTAATTAAATTGTCTACATTATTTTAATAATATTTTGAACTGATAGTCATATATACCTTTAGCAGTTATAAAGTACTTTGTAGATGTAACCTTTAAGAAACACAGAACAGGTGTTGTTAGCTCCATTTTACAGACTTGGAAACTGAGCCTCAAGTTCAAGGACTTGTCCACAAGGTCACACTGATAACGTCAGAGGCAGCATTTGAACTCGCTTCTCTGGACAATCTCAACTCTGCTGTCTTTCTCCTTTGCCTGAAGTGACCCCTCACAATTAAGCATTCTCTATTTTTGATTACATAGGACTCTTGATCACATGCCGTGTGACCAGCACCTCCCTCCCAGCTGGGTACAAAGAGGAAATCGAGCGCTACCTGCGCTCTGTGCAGCTCCCCGACGGCGGCTGGGGCCTGTGAGTCTGCAGAGGATAAAGCTTTGTTCTCTGTCCCTCCCCACTCAGTCCTTCACGCCTTTGCACTGATTGCTCCCCATGCCTGGTGCGCTTGCCCTCGTCCTCTCTGCAGGTGGCCTGTGCCCTCTGTCCCTTCCCATGGACCTAGTCTGGGTCGAGGTCACACATGTGCCTGTGGGAGGTCCTGATTATTTCCCTCTGAAAGAGTAGAAGCTTTTTGAAGGCAGGGACTGTGGCTTCTGTCTTTGCACGCCCAGCCTGGAGCTCATGGCCTGGCAGTGCTGGCACATACGTCACCCCAGTCACTCAGGGCCACTGTTAAGTGCTTCTCAGGGGCCTGGCACTGTACCTACAGAGGTGTTTCTGGGGGGTGTGGGAGGGTGTGGTGGGGGAGGCTCCAGGAAAGGCCACCTGAGCTGCCGGTCTTCTGAGAGGGAGAACCTTCCAGGCTTTGGGGACAGAAGCTCGTGGAAAGGCACCAGGATGGCAGATGGCTTGTTGACTGGGCAGGGATGTGGAGTGAGGCTGGAAGGGGTGGGGGAGGGCGGACCCTTCTGAGCAATTGCCCTTCGTAAGGGCGCTGTGATTGGTCACATTCTTAGGCAGCCTCTTTCTCCTGTTTATTCTTGTTTAAATGAAAAATCCCTGAGATGTGTACGCAGCATCTCTGACCTGGGCTAAAGGACCGTGTGAAGCCAGGAGCCTCGGGCTCTCGAGGACAGCGTGTTCCTGTGAGCGCACGCGCTGCCCAAACAGGCTTCTTCCTCTCGTCTTGTAGCAGAAATGACCCCAATCTTATCCTCAGCTTCTGGCACCCCTTGTTTTTACACCTGTTATGAATGCATCCTTCCTCTGCCCATCGGGAACGTGGGTACATCATCATTCATTCGTAGCGTGGGGACCCTCTAGCAGAATTCTTCCCTTGAGAGAAGGTTGAGGGTTGAAGACGGGGGTCTCCCTCTCTGCTCCTGGGTCTCAGCACAGGTAGGGTGGAGGTTCTTTGGGACCCACCGAGGTTTCAGAAATCCCAGAAGTACGTGCCTTATTCTTCCTTGGTTAGTGAGCATGAAGAAGCTGGTCAAGAACCAGAGTGCTTTTCCTGCTGAAATATGGACTGGTCTACTCCCTGGGGCCCAGGCCCTTTGGGGGCTGCGTTTGGGATGACAGAGCTCTTTAGGTGCAGTGGAAGAGAGGGAGGGATAGAGAGAGAGGCAGAGACATAATGAGAGCAAAAGAGAGAGATGAGGAGAGGGGGAAGAAGAGATAAAGAGGAGAGAGGGAGAGATGGAGATGGCAAGAGAGAAAAGGGAGGCGATGGGGACGTGGAGGGAGAAGAGAGATGGAGATTAAGGGTCGGGGTAGGGGGAGGAGAGGAGAAGCTTGGTTGGCTCCATCCTTGCAGAGGCCGTGGGATGGGGTGGAATCGGCTCAGAATGCCCAGCAGAAACCTTCTGCCTGCTGGGCTTGCTCTGAAATGAATTCTTTGCTTTGCTTCTCTTGCGCCCCGTTAGTTTGGGGGATTATTGTATTCTGAAGAATCTGGGTGTGATGGAGGTTACCAGCAGAGGCTCATTCTTCTCCGTGCTCCTTTGTACTTTTGCAGGCACATTGAGGATAAGTCGACAGTGTTTGGCACCGCCTTGAACTACGTATCTCTGCGAATCTTGGGGGTTGGACCAGATGACCCTGCCCTGGTGCGCGCCAGGACCAACCTTCATGAGAAAGGTGAGTGTTGGGAGTGATGGTCTTTTGGCCGAGGCTGGGTTCTGTGGCACTGTGTTGGCTTTTTATATGTATGTATATCATTAATTTGTTTTTAGTTTTCAACATTCACTTTCATAAAATTTTGAGTTTTAAATTTTCTCCCCCTCCCCCCTCCCATGTACAGTCTGATTGAGGCTCTACATATATGTTCCCATTAGTCATGAAGTAAAGAAGAATTAGAACTAATGGGAGGAACCACAAGAGTGAAGCAGTAAAGCAAAACAACAAAAGAAAAGGAGAGCAAATAGTGTGCTTGGATCTGCATCCAGACTCCATGGTTCTTTCTCTGGGTTTTCCATCGTTGAGTCCTTTGGAGATGTCTTAGATCCCTGCACTGCTGAGAAGGGCTAAGTCTAGCAAAGTTAGTTATCTCACGACGTGGCCGTTACTGTGTACGACGTTCTCCTGGTTCTGCTCACTTCACTCAGCATCAGGCCATACAAGTCTTTCCAGGTTTTTCTGAAGTCAGCCTGCTCATCATTTCTTATAGCACAATAGTATTCCATCATATTCATATGCCACTACTTGTTCAGCCATTCCCCATTGACTTCTTTTTTTTAAAAACAACTTTATTTTTTTCCCCAATTACTTGTAAAACAATTTTCCATGTTCATTTAAAAAATTTTTGAATTCCAAATTCTCCCCCTCCCTGAGGCAGTCAGCAGCCTGATGTAGGTTACACACGTGCGGTCTAGGAAAACACATTTCCATATTAGTCATTTTGTGCAAGAAAACTAAAACCTTCCCCGAAAGAAGGAGTTTTACAGTCTGGCCCAGGCTGCGTTCGGACGTCGTCGGCTCGTCGGCTCTTTCTCTGGAGGCGGGAGGAGGGTTTCCTCGTGACTCCTTTGGGATTGTCTTGGATTCTCGTACTGCGGAGAAGAGCCGAGCCCTCGCTGCGTTTGCCTCCACGGATCAGCTCCCTGGCGATTCCTCCATCACCTCTGATTCTTCCTGCTTGTTTGTCTGTGGACAAGGGAGTGACTTCTCTGAGCCTTGGTGCCCTCCCCGTCAAGTGGGGGATGCCGATGATGATGGTGAAGATGGAAGCTGGCGCGTCTGCAGCACTCTGAACTTTGCAGAACTTGTCGGATCCTCTCGGATCATCTCCATTTTACAGATGAGGACAACGAGGCTGACGGAGGTAAAGGTCTCTAGGAGCCTGCCTGTGCTCAGGGGTAGGCCCTCAGCATCTCCCTCTTGGACCCTTGCAGTGGCCAGTCTGTCCTCCGTTTGAAGAAACTAATCCAGTGAATTTCATGAAAAGCCTCAGGAGCAGATACGGAATCATCTGCTTGGCCCTTGTCTTTGCAGGCCCCGTGTCATCCAGTGCCTCGGCTCCGGGCCTCTTCCCTGGCTCCCGCCCCACCCCATCTCTGCCCCCAGGCCTCCTGAACCCTCTTCATTTCCACTCGTTTGCTTGTCGAGAGCTTGTTTGGACACATGGGTAGCTCCTGGAAGGCAGGGGTGGGTCTTGCCTTTCTTTGTAGCCCTGGTCGTGCCACCATAGCAGGCATTGTTCAGTGTTTATTGGCGTGGGCAGGCCGTAAGTAAACATCTGAGGTGTGGTTTGACCTCGGGCCTTCCTGGCTCCAGGGCTGGCTCTCTGCCCATCCCCACAGAACTGTGGATGATACCCACTGGACTTGCCTCTGGGTTGTTGTGAGGTGTGAGGGAGGAGGGTTTGTAGGGACGTCATTTTCTGTCTTTCGGGCTTGATGAAGATCTGGCTGGTGGGTGGTGATTAGGGAGTGAGCCTAGGTCTTGGGGCCCCAAGTCAGCGGGTCCCTCCTCACCTCTGACCAGAGCTGGGCGCCTTCCCCCAACCCCCAGGGATTCTGAGGACACTCACCCTTAAAGTATTAGGTTAGTGGGGGTGGGTAGAGATGAAGCCGACTTTGCAACTGCTGTGAAGAGTGAGGTTTTCTTCCCAGACTTGCCTTCTCTGTTTGACTTGCCTCTGCGGCTTGGACTCTGAATGAGGTGCCGAGGCTGTGACTCTTCCTCCGTCCGATAACGTACAATTTAAACGCTTTGTCTTGTCCCGTCGCTAGACTGAGCGATGCTGGCATTCTGGGGAGTTTTTCAGCACGCCCGTGATTTTTATTGGTGCCTCAATGTCGTCGTTTTTTTTTACCCTGACTCAGATGAAGTCTGGCCGGGAGCTTTGGTGTGGCGGAGGATGGCAGTGGGGAGGGCGCAGGTACCTTTCTCTGATCGTAGGTTCACGTGCTGTTTGGGATCGCCCAAAGCTCCAGGGAGGCAGGACTCTCCTTCCCAGGCTGGCCTTGTGTCCTCCTCTCTTCTCTTAATGAATGTTGGCTGCCACTGACCTTTGGAGTGGGCAGCAGCACTTTTCTTGAATCTTTGGGACCTGGTCTTTTCTAGGTGGTGCTCTTGGAATCCCTTCATGGGGAAAGTTTTGGTTGGCCATCCTGAATGTTTACAGCTGGGAAGGACTGAATACCCTCTTTCCTGAGATGTGGTATGTATCACAGCAACACGGTTCTCTTTGGACGTGGAATTAACTGTGTCCCCTGGTTGGTCTCTTGGACCTGCTTTTTGGTGCTGCTGGCCTCCTGCCCCTGCTTGCCCTGGCCTCTGCTTGTGCCCCACCGATCCTGCCCCACCGTCAGTGACTGTGGTCAAGCTCCCAGGGCTCCCTGCGCTCTTCCCTCTCCCCCAGATGCATAGACCTCCCTCCCCACCTCCATTCCTCCAGCAAACGCTTCTGGTAGGCCTGGGCCCCCTCTTCATCCCTGCTCAGGCCTCTCTCTGGGCCTGCATCTCAGGCCCTCCTGTCTTCTCCAGGATTGGTAGGCCCCTGGTGCTCCCTTTTCTCACCCACCTTCCACGTATGCCTTGTCCTGCCTGCCCAGACCTGCTCAGCTCTCACTACTCCTCGAAGAAGCCTTCTATCGCCCCTTCTCCACCCGGAGACCTGCCTAGCAGGCACCGCTCCTCTCGTACCGGCCCTATGCCATACCATGCCGATTACACGTGGTATCTGTTTCCTTGCATTGCGACTTGCACTCCCACCAGCCCGTGGACACTCCTCAGGGGGTTATCCCGTCTCCTCGCCTCTGTGCAGTCCTCAGTCTCTGACCTTTGTGCCCCACCTGAGGTGTTTCCTCGACGCCCCAGAGCCTCTCCTTCATCTTTCCCTGTGTCCTCAGATCTCTTGTGGAGTCCTTTCTTGAGGTTAGTGCTGCCGAGCTCTGTCTGCCCTGGTCTCTCTTCTCTTAATCCCCAGCCCTGTGACACCTTGCTTGCTCCCAGGCCTTCGCCTGTCGTCTCTCCCCCGAGCATCAGACCCTCATCTCTGACTGCCAGGAGGACAGCTTTGCCATCTGTGTGCCCCCCACAGACCTCACGTCCACACATCTGACTCACTTTATCACCATGTGCTGCCGCTCTGGTTTTGAGAAAGGTTTCCTGGGCTCCTCGAGTCTCCTTCGTGTTGGGCTTAGTCTGCTGGGGCGTTTCCAGCCTTGTCTTCCGTTTCTCCTGCCTTTGCCCCTAGCCCCTAGGCCCTAAGGGCCAGCCAGGCCTAACTGTGTTTGCCTGCCTTGGTGCCTGAACTCAGGCTGAGAATGCCCTCTCTTGCCCTCTGTGGCTTTGAAATGCCATTCTTTAAAGCCCAGCGGGGCTGGCTTGCTTCCTGAGGTTCCTCCTTACTCGAGGTTTTCAAGTGAAGATAGGATGACCTTGTGTTGGGGGCATTGTCAAGGAGACATCTGTAGAGGCCCACCCTAATGTTCTCCATCTGGGAAGCCTCCCTCTGCCATACTCTTAGGTGCTGTTCCCTGTGAGACTGTGGGCTTCATGAGGCAGGGCCCCTGTCTAGGGCCTGCCATCTGCCTGTGTGACAGCAGCAGGTGTGGACCAGGTTGGCACTCATCTTGTAAGCTATCATGGCAGGCACCAGTGCCTAGTGCCAAGAAGTGGGGTTGGAGCTGAGGCCTTGGTACCTCGAGGGAAGCTTCGTGGCCCCCCGGGTGAACAGTAAGCGAGTCTTTGGATTTCTTTGCCAGGCTCTTTCCTGCCTGGGTACCTGCTCACCCCTCAACTCTGTGGTGCCATTGTCGCCAGGTATATCTGCCCATGAGCTATTGCTACGCCATGCGCCTGCAGGGCCAAGAGGATGAGCTGGTTCGAAGCCTGCGACAGGTGAGGACCTCAGTTATGGCTAGGGGAGGAGGGGGAGGTGTCGGGCCGGTCAGAGCATAATGGTCCTGGGGGACTCTGGGAGCCTCTTGTTAGAGAGCTGGGAGAAGGAAACAGGCATTGATTAAGCACCTACTGTGTGCCAGGCACTAATTGTCTTATTGGATCCTCCCAACAACCCTGGGAGGTAGGTGCTATTATGATCTCCATTTTACAGATGAGGAAACTGAGGCAACTAGGTTAGTTGAGTGCCTTGCACAGCTAATAGTCTCTGAGGCCATATTTGAACTCAGTTCTTCCTGACTTCAGGCTCTGCCCTTCAGCTGCCTCGAGGGGGATGCAAAAAAGCGAGACACTAATTATAACTGGGTTTTATTTTGACTTTGCTCTTCTCGCCTAAGGTTCTTGTGTTTATTTTTTTAAAAAATTGTTGTAAACCTTGTAACTACTGATGAACCAACGTTTTGAAATGACCGTGAGATTGTAAATACAGAGGTAGTTTGCCTGTGGCGGTCGGAGCCCCTCGGGCCACCTCTCGCTCTGTGTCTTCCTGTACCTTGTGGGCTTTCTTCCCTTTGTTTTTGTTGATGAGTCCCTACGTTTCCTTGGGCTCTTCCTCTTATCTTTTACTTGGAGCCTGGAGCGAAAAGCGGCTCAGGAACCAGGGGCGTTGGCCTCGGGCCTCGGTGCAGGCTGCTCCCGGCCCCGCCCGGCCTGCCCTCCATTTAAGGAGCCCTGTGCTCCCAATCAGCAGGCATTTATTGCACGCCTACTGTGTGCAGCACTGTGCTGGGGCAACAGAGACAAAAGCCGGCCCATTGGCAAGCACTAGGTACCTACTGTGTACACAGCGCTGTGCTCATTTAGGAGGATGTAGAGACAGAGTTGGAAACAATCCCTGCCCAGGATGAGCTCCCTTCCGGGGAGGCCACATCTAATGAGAGTCTGTAGAAAGACAAGGGCATGTGGGCAGCTGGGAGGTGGGAGGAAGCTTCCTATGGAAGGAAGAGAGAGAAGGATAGGGCATGGGAGATGACCAGTAGTCTGGGAAGAGGTGGTGAGTGGGGTGAGGAGGGCCTCTGCCAGGGAGGGACGCTGAGCGTGTCACCGTGAGGGCCCTGGTCCAGGATTACTTTCTGATCTCTGGTCCTTGTTTTTAGGAACTTTACCTGGAGGACTATTCCAGCATAGACTGGCCGGCCCACAGGAATCATGTGGCGGCCTGCGACCTCTACACACCCCACAGCTGGCTCCTCCAGCTGGTCTATGGTAGGTCAGCCCACGTGCGTCCCCTCCTACCTGGAACAGAGAGGGGTGGGCCCCCAAGGCCTGGCTGCATTTTCTCCCTTGAGTGCCTGGGATCCTCGTCTGGGAAGACTGGTGGGAAAGTGTCTGAGGTTTTTCTGTTGTGCGCCCAGTTCCCTGGCCGGCATGTAATCTCAGTGGGGTTCTTCCCCCCCCACGCCCCCTCCCAGCCCTATTTTCCAGCACCCCAGTAGAACATGAGGTCCCGTTGTGTGCGTCAGAAGCCTCCACGCTTCCAGCGGGGTCTGCCACGTGCTCTCTCTTTTCTCTGGACCAGTGGTTTCACAGGCCTTCTTTGAGAGGAAACATGTTGCTTCTCTTTGGGGGATGCCATGTGGGTACCACAGACCAGGGGTCAGGGTCCTGGATCCTGCTTGTCTTAGGCTAACAGACTAACCCTTTGGGCGGCAGACTTTGTTACCGACCTCTGGAATCGTGCTCGGCCATTGCGTTGATCAGAGTGCGGATGTCTTAGACAGTTGTTTTCAGGACACCGAGACTTGCTGAAATTGCTCCCTTGGTTCCACTCACCTGACTACGCCTCCATTCATACAGGCTTTCCCCATTTTCCGTGAATCTGTCCCTTCCCCCGCCATAATCTGTTTGGCCAGTTCTGGTTGTGAGCACCGTCTGCCTCGCCCCCATTCCCAGTGCTTTGTGACCCCAGATTGGTGCCAGTGTGGGTCCTTTCAGTCTTCCTTGATCTCTTTGGGGCAGACGGCGGGTACTGGTTGCTGAGTGGCTGCGCCGGCTCCATTAACGCAGGGCCTTAGTGTGCCTGTTTGCCCACAGCCCCCGCAGCCAAGCTGAGGGCTGGCCGGCAGGACCCCACGAGGTGCTGAGAGGCCTGGCTTGGGTTTGTTAGCGGGAGAGTCACTTCCTTCCACAGCCTAGAAATGAGACCGCTGCCAGAGAAGGTGGCTGCAGAGCCACATTGCGGGGGTTCCGGGGCAGAATTGCCCGTTTTCTCCTCTGCCGCCCCCCATGTCCCTCGGTTTGTCCTGAATCTTCTCTGCCCCAGAGAGCTGATGGGCCCTTTCCCGGTTCCTCCCATGGCTTCACGTGTCTCCTTTGAACTGGACAGCATCCTGAGAAGGGGAGGCGCCATGAGTATTTTGGCTTCCTTTGGCTGATAGGGCCCTAAGGCTCAGAGGGGTTCCATGGCTCCCATCTGGTCCTGTTAGCTCTTAAGAGCTTGGCTGGTGTGGGACCCTGGGCCATTCCCCTCACTTCTGCCTGCCTCGGTCTCCCCCTCTGTAAAACGAGGATCTGGGTAGATCATCTATAACGGAGCTGACTGAATGGATGCCTAATGTGCGCTTATTCCTCCCTTCCACTCTCACGCTGTCAGCCCTCACGATCCGTCATCCAGTCCACCCCCCATTCCCCCCCACACACCCATAATGCCCTGGGCAGGCAGAGAGATCAGGGAGGTGCGTCTTGGCCTGGCCAGGCAGTAGCAGTGGGGACCTTCCTGGAGGCTCAGGCCCTCCAGCCCCAAGCCCCTTACTGTCTCTGCCCTCCCTGACAGGATGCACCAGATGGCAAGAGAGGCCCCTTTGCTTGATCCCGTGCCGGCAGTTTCCTATCTCTAGGCCTTTGCAGGCAGTGTGCTCTGAGCGCCGCTGGAGGAGGGCTAGGGATTAGGAGCGGCCTGCCAGCTGGCCTTTAGGAGCTACTTGGGGAACCGTTCCCCAGGTGTTAGGAAATGGTGGGCAAAGAGATTAAAGGACAGTGGGCCTGGAGACGGAGGGCAAGTCAGGTTTTAAGGACCGTGTCAGCAAAGGCCAAGAGATGGGAAACGTGGCCATGAGACTGGGGGATGTCAGGTGCCTCTCTGCTAACTGGGAGAGCAAAATCCCTCTAAGCCATGTTTGTGTCACTTGTCAAGGGGCCCTGGTCTGTCCCCACCTTGGAAACCATCGTCCTCTCTTGTCAACCCCCTCCAGAATACCCCCACCGCCCTTCTCCAGGGCCTGTGTTCCTGCTTTTGCTTGTGCTGTCTCCCTCTCCCCCATCCCCCACCCTCTAAAGGCTGGCCCTAGTCCTGATTCCTCCCTGGAGCCCTCCGTGGATGGGCTCCAGACCCAGACCCCGAGACCCAGCACCTAATTTTTGTTCTTTTATTTGGTTCGTGTGTGTTAGTCGTGTTTCTCCCAGGAGATTTTTTCAGCTCCTTGGGGCGGAGCAGTGCTGAGTGAAGGCACCAGCAGTAGAGAAGGCCTGTCAGGAGGGGTTTCTGTGAACCTGGCTGGTCTCAGCCATCGACCCAGGGGCCTCGGAGGGCTCTCCTGACCAGCTCCTCGGGAGCTTTCCCTTCGAATGCAGCTAGTAACACATCTGTCTTCCTGTGCCCCGCTCTAGGCGTGCTCAACGTGTATGAGAGCTATCACCTCTTGAGCCTGAGGAAGCGCGCCGTGGCCGAGGTGTATGATCACATAACAGCCGACGACCGATTCACCAAGTGCATCAGCATCGGCCCGGTATGCTTCCACGCCTTCTCCGTCCTCTGCTGGCGGGGGGGCGGCGGGGGCGGATCTCATCCTCGCCCTCTCTATGGGCCCTTTTCCACCTTGAGGCAGTGGCCGGAGTGGAGCTGGACCCCCGGCCAGGACTCTCCCTCCAAGTCACTGGCCTTTTTGGCTGGGCGTTCTCTAGGTTCTGTGGACGATCTAGATGCCAGATCCGTAAACCAAAATGAAGAGTTTTTTCCTCTTTATTGAAGAAAGATGCTTGAGACGTCTGATTCTCTGTGGAGTGGTCATCTGGAGGGGTGCATGTATTAGGACATTTGGTCACTCTTTGTTGTTGTCAAGCCATGGCCACATTGTGATTTCTTCCTCTGGCAGATTTCTAAGACAATCAACATGCTCGTTCGATGGTATGCAGACGGGCCGGCCTCCTCGGCATTCCGAGAACATGTCTCCAGAATTCCAGATTATATGTGGTAGGTTTCCGTGAGGATGCTGCATGTCTCTCAAGAAAAGCTGTTTCTTCTGCCGAATGTATTTGGATAATGGCCAAGGAGCAGTCCGTTAGAGAGCAGCTCTAGGGAGGGGGAGGTGGGGAGTGGCACAGAAGTGGGGTCACCCAGATGGCAGGGGCAGAGGAGGCCAGAGAGCAAACCTTGGCTGGTGACAGCTGTCGGTGCAGGGGCCTGGCGGATCAGCCTAGTGAGGGAGACTTCAATGGCTGTGCCTAATTGAAAAGCATGTCAGGGCGGGTCCTGTTGCAGGGATCACACTGGGGGCTCTCAAGAGTTCAGGCAGGGTTTTGAGTAATCACCTTGGCTTTGTCACCTTCCTTCCAGGTTGGGTCTTGATGGCATGAAGATGCAGGTAAAGTGCCTTTTTTGAAACAAGGGTTTCTTGTGGGGGGAGCCTGGAGGGGGCGTGGCTGACTGGGGGTCCACGGTCTCCGTCTGTCTTCATTCTGGGCCCCATGTGGGCCATGCTTTCTTCAAGATCACGGGAGACATTAGGGAGCCGGGATGTGTGGGTTTTGTGTGTTGGCAGGGGATTTCTGGCTGAACTCCCAAAGTTGTTGGCAGTGTGATAAATCACATATGTCAGTTGACTTGAGGACTCTTCCACAGTTATTTATCTCTGGCCTAATAAATCACTTATGTGAGTGAACAAATGCTGAGCACCTCTCTAGGGCCATTTTTGCAGACACGTGAGGACGTACGGCTCTGCCATTGCGATGATGGCACGAACGTGGTGCTGGGGATGATGACCAGGACAGAGGGAGCAGAAGCGGGGGTTTGTGCCCATATCCGCCTGTTCCCCCTTGGGTCCTCCATGAGCACCTCCCTCAGGTGCCTCCTTACCTGATTAAAGGACCCAGTAAACTCACTTGTGCTCCTTGGCACATTCCTAACAAAGTTCTCGAGTCTTGCCTTTCCCAAGGCAGGGTCCCCAAAAAAGGCCCTCTGTGTAGAATGTTAGCTTCAGTTTGGAAGGGAGGAGGTGGTTTGGGGACAGGGAGGCCTTCCAGAGCCTCAGACACTCCTTTGTGCCCTGGTCTCTCTGCCTCTAAGTGGAGCTGTGGACCCGTTTTTTGATCTGGAAACTCTTGTTATCCCAGATGCACCCAGAAAAATTGGGTAAGAGAAGGTAGCCTGGGGTGGGCTCTTGTGGAATTGGTGTTTTCCTTAAGAGGGGAATAGTGTGTGAAACATTAAGCTTTCTGAGTAATGATGGGGCCAGCTTGGCAGATAATCAGTCATTTTGACTAGGAGGAGCCCTCTTGGAAGAGAAATAATTTCACTGTGGTCATGCCCCTCCTCCTCTGTTCCTCTGTCTCTAGGGCACCAATGGCTCTCAGCTGTGGGATACAGCATTTACCATCCAAGCTTTCCTAGAGGTATTCTCTTTTCCTTATTCACATTTATTCCCGACTTGCCTGTGGACCGTGGACATGTGCCCCCATTTTAATTTTTTTTAAAATGCTCATTAACATAATCTTGTGAAACTGTAATGAACTACATCGCATGGGGCCCTGGCTTCTTGGAATGGACCCAGTAGCTAGAAAAGACTTCAGCTTTAATGGCTGCTGTTGAGCACACAGCCAGGCTTGAGGGCCCCAGTGCTGCCTCTTTTTCCAAATGATGTTTGTTACTATTTTTGTCTAGAAGCACTAGAACAGGAATTCTTAACTTTGTATGTGTCATGGAACCTTGTAGCATTCTGGTGAAGTCTGTGGACCCCTTTTCAGGATAAAGTTTTTAAGAGCATTAAATAAAATACATAGTATTCCAAAGGAAATGAATTATATTGAAATACAATAGTCAGATTATTATGATCAAACAAGTTCATGGATCCCAGGTCAAGAACTCCTTCTTTCCCCATCGTTTGGCACTGTTATGGAGATGCTAGCTTTTTTTTTTTTGGCTAGGCAATGGGGTTAAGTGATGTGCCCAAGGTCACACAGCTAATAAGTGTTATGTGTGTGAGGCCAGATTTGAACTCAGGTCCTCCTGATTCGAAGGCCGGTGCTCTATCCACTGCGCCACCTAGCTGCCCCAAGATGCTAGCTTTAGTGATAAGTTGGGAAGGACATTAAAGCATAATCACTAGCAAAGAGGAGATGAAATTGCCCCTTTTTGCAACACAGTGCTTTACTTAGAAAACCAGAGAGAGTCAGCAAACAAATTAATTGGCACAAATAATGTATTGAAATAGTAACAATAACCTTGAAATAGCAAGGTACAAAAGAAATCCGCACAAATCTACAGCATTTCTATAGAACATTAACTTCCTAGGAAGAAGTAATAGAATGGGAACCCCCATTCAAAATAAATGCAAAATGCATAAAATTGCTGAGAGTTCAGCTACCGTGATATACTTGTTGTATGTAAATGCAATTACAGAGTGCTCTTTAAAGAAATAAAGAGTAACTTAAATAATAGGGGAGGGAGATAGTCATTGTGCATGGTTGAACCGTGCCAGTATAATAAAAATCACTAACCATTTACTAGTGACAGATACTGAAGTAAGTGCTGAGATCCAGTGTAAAAGCAATCTCTACCCTCCCTACAGGAGCTTACATTCTAATGGAGGGCACAACAGTTTTTATCCCCGTGCACAAGTATGTGCAGTCACAGATGTATGCATGCCTCCACACACACACACACACACACACACACACACACACACTTACCAAGGGGATAGTTTATAGAACTAGACAAAACAGGAACACATTTATTCTGAGAAACAAAAAACCTAGAACAGAGTTTTTTTAACCTGCGGTCTATGAACTTTTTTATAAAATATTTTAATAGCTTTCAGTTTACTGGGTTTCTTTGTAATCCCATGTATTTTGTGCATTTAATAATATGGTGAGTAGAGGTCCATAGGCTTCAGCAGCCAGACCCCAGAGGGTCCAGGGCGAAGAAAAGGTCAAGAACTCGGGACCAAGGATGTCGAGGCAGACACTACAGTCGGGCATTGGAGCTCAGGGACCCCAGGGTTGGATCTACTCGAGAACCTCAGTTACTTGGGGAAGAACTCAGTTTGTCAGAAATTGAGTTTAGACAAATGTCTTTCACCACAGAAGCCACAGGAAGGTCAAAACAGATCCCTGCCCTATGTGTGGTGAGACATGAACATCTGAAACAGTAAGGAGAAAACCCAGGTGCTCCTTAACCACACAAGGGTTGGAGCAGGCCAGACCAGGAGTTCCTTGAAGGCAAGGCACACCTCTTGGTCAGTCGTTCAGTTGTGTCTGACTCTCTGTGATCCCTTTGGGGTTTTCTCAGCGAAGATACTAGAGTGGTTTGCCATTTCCTTTTCCTGCTCATTTTACAGATGAGGAAACTGAGGCAAACAGGTTAAGTGACTTGCCTAGGGTCATAGCTAGGAAATGTCTTGAGGCCAGATTTGAACTGAGGAAGATGAGTCTTCCTGACTCCTGGCCCAGTGCTGCGTGCACTGCCTTTGTCTGGCACATGGTAGATCCTAAAGTGATTGTTAACTAGAGAAGATCACTCATTCCTCAGTTAAGAAGCACTTATCGGGGCAGCGAGGTGGCTCAGTGCAGAGGGCACCGGCCCTGGAGTCAGGAGGATCTGTGTTCAAATCTGGCCTCAGACACATAACACTCACTAGCTGTGTGACCCTGGGCAAGTCCCTTAGCCCCAATTGCCTCACAAAAAAAAAAAAAAAAAGCACTTATTAAGCACCTGCTCTGTGTCAGGGCTAGAGTGAAGCCAGAGAGATCATTGTGATTATGTGAAAGTAAAAGGCTTTTGTCCAGACAGTCAGAGGAACTAGGCTAAGAAGGGGAAGCCTTGGACAGGAGACCTCTCTTCAGCAGATGGCTCTGACAAAGGGAGGGAGCTGATCCTGACTCGCCGTCCCCATGAAGCATTCCTCCGTGAGTGAGCTGGTAAAGGATCTGGACAAACAGTTCTCCAAAGAATTGCATAATATCAGCCTTGTGACAGAAGGCCCCAAATCACGATGAAGGGAAATACAAAGGTTGTGGGGCACTTCTAATAAATTGTCGGAGATGCCAGAAGACGACTGTCAGGGCACGCCTAATACATTGTTGGTGGAGCTGCGAATTGCTCCAGCCATTCTGGAACACTTATTAAGCTCTTGGTTTTTTTTGTTGGTTTTTAGGCAATTGGGGTTAAGTGACTTGCCCAGGGTCACACAGCTAGTAAGTGACAAGTGTTTGATCTGAGGCCAGATTAGAACTCAGGTCCTCCTGACTTCGGGGCCGGTGCTCCATCCACTGCGCCACCTAGCTGCCCCTCCTTATTAAGCTCTATCTGTGTGCCTAGGCACTGTCCTGAGCACTGGGGCTGCCAAGAAAGGCAGAATAACACTCCTGCCCTGAAGGGGCTTCCAATCCAGTGGGGGAGATAGAAGGCAAATACATGGGTACAGACAAGCTCCATGCAGGACAAACAGAAACTAATGAACAGAGAAGACTTCCCGGAGGAGGTGAGATTTTAGGTGGCACTTAGGAGGTTAGTAGTGAGGGCATTGGAGGGGGAACATTCCAGGCAGGGGAACAGCTGGAGAGAATGCCTGCAGCCTTTTGGATTTAGATGGACAAAGTGACCCAAGATGCAGTCAATGTCCTGTTAATAGAAAAACTTTTGTGGTGGTGGAGAACTGGACACCAAAGTGATGCCCATTAGTTAGGGCATGCTACAGTGGTATATGAAATGGTGAATATGAAGGGTTTGGAGAAATGTGGGAAATCCCATATGAAAGGATACGTAGGGAAACACGTATGTGTTTGTTGTCGTTTTAATGACAAAGTTGGGCCTTTTTCAGAGCTGGAGGTTAGCGAGGGCGTAACAGTACGCGTGCTCTCAGGCCTGGTCACTCTTGGTTGGTTCTTTGTGGGGGGAGGGGGTGTTGGCTGGTAGAGGAGTAGCTAGTGAGACATTTGGGAAGGAAGGCGATGTCAGAATAAAGTATGGATAAAACTTGCCCCTAAAAAGTAAGACTTGCTGTCCCTGTCTTGTAGGGCTACTGTGAGGAGCCAGACACACAGTGGGTGTTGGTGTTGAGTGCTCTGTCGTTCGGAAGCGAGCCAGCTCGGGGCTTGCTTGTGATCTCACATCACGCTCACGTGGATGTCTCTTTTTCTAGGCTGGGGCTCACAACATGCCTGAATTTTCTTCCTGTCTAAAGGATGCACATGAATTCCTTAGAGTTTCCCAGGTGAGCCCTGCTCCCCTGATCTTTAGTGGGGTCACTGTGTGCATCTGTGCTGAGCTGAGCCTGACCGTGACCGCGTGAGCCAAGGACGAGGAACCTTCTTTAATCAGACATGGGGAGCTTTGCCAGGACCCTTAGCCCAGGGGGAGCCTTGGGGAATCTGCTTGCCATTCTTAATTCATGGGTCTGCCCCTTCCCCCAGTTGGAGGTTACTGACAGTTCACCACTTTGTCCTCTCCTGGCCCCACGTACTCTCAGCTCTTTTGGCCAGGCTGAGTAGTCGCCGGGTCAGCTGCCAAAGGAGCAGTAGCGGCAGCCGCAGGACTCTCCCCTCTTCCGGGGCCCTGGTTAGGCCTTCTCCAGGTAGTCCTGCCGGGCCAGTCCTCTCAAATCCTGTCTTTGGGGATGATGGACGGTCACAACTCCAAGGGCTAGGAAATCGTAAGATCAGAAGCCTCGTTTGGGCACTCACGTGCTGGCTTGAGTTTTCCGTCAGGAGAATGTAAGAATCTCTCTTCTCTAATACGTTTATCATGTCTGCCGTGCTCACACAAGGGCTCATGCTAACGGACAGGTAGCTCTTGGTATATAGGAAATATACCTTCTAGTGAGGTTAACTGTATATCAAACAGCTTCTTCCCATCGATTGCTGTGATGGAATAATCATTGGTTTCCAGAAAGAGGAGGTTTGAGGCAGCAGGGTGGGATGGCAGTCCCAGGCTGGCGGGTTGGGGACAAGGAAGGGGAGAGTGGATGTGGGCGTGAGGAGGACCGGCGGGCTCCGGGGGCAGGGCTGAGTGACACGTTGGCGGGCTGGGCTTCACGTGCACTTGTGTTTTACCTGAGGTAGAGCCTTGTGGGCGTCCTAGTTATCATTACTTCTGTGTCATGTGCATATTGTGTTCTCCCTTCCACATCTTGGTGTATGACGCGGATTTTTGTCTAGATTCCAGATAATCCTGTCGACTACCAGAAATATTATCGTCAGATGAACAAGGTATGCTGTGAATTGGGTGTGGCACAGACACAGAGAAATCTGGTTTGGACTCTGATGGTTTCACTGTCTCTTGTTTTGTCCTAGCATTTTTTTTTATGTACTCGTTTTTTCATTCAGAGGATTTCTGTCTCTCCTTGCTTTTGGCTGGGTCTTCATATACGGAGAAGGCCGAGACGTTAGGTCGTAAGCTGAGCTGAGCAAGCCATCTGAGGCAAGGGTGGCAGCGCTGGGTGCGTGGCTGACCTAGAGAAGGCCTTCTCTGGCATTCCCCAGCAAGGGAGCAGCCGAGCCAGGATTAGAAACCAGGTCCTTCCCAGCATCCTTTCCACCAGCCCGTAACTCATGTCAGTTGTCTTTTCCTCCTCATCAAAGGCAGCCACTGTTCTCAATGGGATGGTCTGTTCAATGGGGAGAAAGGAAGGGGACAAGTATTTAATACATACTTGGCACCTACTGTGTGTCAGGCACTGTGCTAAGCACTGGGGATACAAAAAGAGGCAAAAGACAGGTGCTTCCCTCAAGGAGCTCCCAGTCTATTGGAGGAGACAACATGCAAGCAAATATGTAGAGACATGGGTTAAAGGGGAGGTAATGAACAAATTGGGAGGGGCTTGGGGAAGGCTTCCTGGAGAAGGAGGGATTTTAGGTGGGACTTGAAAGAAGCCAGGGAGGTCTGTAGTGGGAGGGAGGAGGGAGAGAGCTCCAGGCATGGGGAGGAGGGGGAGGCCAGAGCGAATGCCCGAAGCCAGTAGATGGAGGGTCTTATGGGATGGCCAGTGGGCCAGTGGCACTTCAGCGAAGAGCATGTGTTGGGGTTAAGATGGAATAAGGCTGGAAAGGGAGGAGGGGGCTAGGTCATGAAGGGCTTGGATTGCCAAGCAAAGGATTGTGTATATTACCTGGAGGTGATAGGGAGTGCTGGAATTTACTGAATGGGGTTGGGGGTGTGTGTGGGTGTGTGTGTATGTGTGTAAATGTGTGTAATGATCAGATCTTAGCCTTAGGAAAATCACTTGAGTGGCGAACGGAGGCTGGGCTGGAGTGGGAAGTAGCCTCGAGATAGGCAGACCCCACGGGGGCTATTGGCCTAGTACAGGAGTGAGATAATGAGGGTCTGCACCGGTAGCACAGAGGGAGAAGAGGATCCAGGGCAAGTCTGAGGGGCACCGTGGTTGGAGGGGGTGACCTGGAGGAGGACCCAGCAGAAGAGACTGAGAAGGAGCGGTCAGAGAGGGAGGAGGAGAGCCAGGAGAGAGTGCAGTGTCCCCAGAACCTCGAGGGAGGAGGGAGTGAGCCACAGTGTCCAGGCCTGCAGAGGGGTCAAGGGGAGTGAGGGTGGAGTTGAGAAAAGGCCGTTGGGTGTGGCTCCTCAGGGACAGTTTGGGTGGAAGGAGGAAGTTGGAAGTCAGACTGTGAGGAGTGAAGAAGGCAGTGAGAGGAGACGGGAGGAGCCCAGGCGTTGTCTTCGAGGGCCATGGGCTCTGTCCTGGAGAGGCCCCTGCTGGGCTGGGCAGAGAGGCCTGGGCAGTGGGAGGCCCAGCCTCGTCCTGGGGACCCAGCCTGCTCTTCCCCCCCCCCCCCCCCCCCGTGGGTGTGAGCTGGCCTAGACTCCTGTCTGAGAGCTGTGAATTCACTCGGATCTCCTTGTCCTCAGCACAAATGGCTCTTCCTCTTCCCGCAGTGTGCCACGTTCCCTGGGATGGCTGGTGGCCCGTCCAGCCTGGGAGCAGCGGACCTTGTGGCCAGGGCCCGTCCTGAGCAGGCCTCAGTTTCCTTATCTGTAAAATGGGGGTGTTTCGGCTCATGTTGCTTTTCTCACCAGGCTGTCGGCCGTCAGTTCCAGGGAGCTCTGCCAGACAGATGCTCGTTTGTTTGAAGCCGCTGCTCCAGGCAGCGCCCAGGCTCAGCACGTCCTCTTCTCTGAGCCTGGGCTCCGAGGGGCGGGAGGTAGGAAGCCAAGAGGCCGAATGGAAGGAACGGCTCCCCTTTCCTCAGGTCATGTGGACTTATCTTTGCCTTGTAGGGCGGCTTCCCCTTCAGTACGCGGGATTGTGGCTGGATTGTTGCCGACTGCACGGCGGAGGGCTTGAAGAGTCTCCTTCTCCTGCAAGAGAAGTGTCTTTTCATCACAGACCCGGTCCCCAAAGAGAGGCTGTATGATGCCGTCAATGTGGCAAGTGACGGGCTTGTGTGCGGGAGCACCAGAGGGGGTGTTGCTAGGGACACTCCCTCAACCAGGCCTTGGGACTCAAGGAGAAGTTTGCTCCGTGGCTTTCTTTGGGGCTTGAAACAGGAGCCACATTCTGTGTTTGTTTGGTTTTCAGTCTTTGTCCTTCAAGGCCTTGGGTGTTCTCCTGGGAGGCTGAAGGCTTGGCCATCCCATTTGGGTCAAGCTGCCGTCCAGGCCTTTCCACCCTCGTAGCTGGTAGGCCCTCCCCCTCATTCTGTCCATAAATGAATGGAATCTAGTTTCCAAACCTGGAATTGCCCTCTCAACCTCCTGGGGGCACGAGTACAGCACAGTGCAGAGTGAAGGGCTCTGGTGGTCACTTTGGCTGGAGACTCCGCTTTTCCTAGTCCGCAGGTCACTGGAAGGTTTCCTTTCACCTTTAGCACCCAGCTTTGATCAACTCCCTTCCATGTATGGCCACATCTCCTTCAAGGCCTGGCTTGCCTCTCGCCCCGCCCCAGCAGCTGCTGGCCCAATCACGGCAGTCAATCTTCTCCTTATGATAGATTCGAATTGCTCCTGCTGGTAAATGCAAGGCGTCTAGGGACCGTAGTTGGCCCTGGGTCCCTGCTCCCAGTGAGGGCTTGTTCTCTTTTTGGAAGGGCCCTTTGACTCTGGAAGCAGGAGTCCTCTCCTCCCCACCCATGCTTGCCCTCCCCGGCTGGGAACCCAACCCTGTCTGCCAGTGTACCCAAGCACATGCTTGTCTCACGTGGGAGCCCAGCCCATAGGGTGCGCCCTCAGTTTACTCGTCCATCTTTTGTGTAGCTGCTGAGCATGAGGAATCCGGATAATGGGTTTGCCACATATGAGAAGAAGCGTGGAGGATGGCTGTTGGAATTACTGAATCCCTCGGAGGTCTTTGGTGAGTCTGCTTGTGGGCTCCAGCCCAGTGATGAGAGATTTGACCCCGCCGGCCTCTATCCTAAGCCCCTCGGTTGTGAGCCTCTCAGCCACCACCGCCCCTGCGTTGACTTGGAAAGGCCTAGAGGGCACTCTTTGCGTGAGGGGCTCCAGTGTGCTGTCTCTGGTTAGGCAGGGGCATGGCAGCAGCTGTTCCTGTCTGCGCCGGGTACGGCCACGCGGGGTAGTGACTCGGTGTCCTTGCGGGGAGGGAGGGGCAGCCTCGTCACACCGGGCCTCGGGCTCTTGGACCCGAACGTGACGTGGCTGCGCCTTGTGGTTCACTTGGGGCCCTTCTCTCGGCACTAGACGTCCCAGGACGTCTTTCTCATGTCGGGCCGTTGAGATCAGGCCTAACCGGGCAGGGGCCCTGGGGCCCGCAGCTCGTAGCTGGCGCCGTCTGTTGGCGCAGAGGTGGCTCCGTAGGCTGGCTCTTGACTCCGGGCTCTTGCTGCCTCCTTCCCAGGGGACATTATGATTGACTACTCGTACGTGGAATGCACGTCTGCGGTCATGCAGTCGCTGAAGTGTTTCCGGGAGCGCTTCCCTGAGCACAGGGCCGAGGAGATCCGGTGAGCAGAGAGCACGGGCCTGGGGCCCGAGGGGCCCGTCCAGCTGCTCCTGTGGAAGGGGGCAGCCGCGCCCGGCACCCGGACGGCCGCGCCGGCTCCGCTGCTGTGGCTGCCAGGGGCTCTGCTCGCCCCTTTCCTCCCCTTGTCTTCTGGTTGATTCCTCTCCAGATTCTGGATCTTTTGTTTCTCCAGGCGTGTTTTGCTGTTAGTTCTCGCTCTACCCAGCTATCCCTCTGTTTGTTTGCTTGGTGTGATAGCACCTCCTTCGGTATCTCTTTGTGAATGAGGACCAAGGCTGGCCTGTTTCAGAGCCTGGTCCAGTGGCACCAAAGCCTGGTTTGACCAGTGTGGGTGCAGAGTCGGGTTTGTGCTGACGGCGCTGAGATGCAGGCTTCCCGTGTTTGTTCCCATGCTGCTCTTTTCTGCGTAGTAAGCTGATGGGGTCCCCCGGCCCCTCCCGGGGCACAGCGGGGCGGCAGCTCCAGGTCTGACGGGGCAGCGCTGATGTCGGTAGGCCCTCGTACAGCTGCTAGGCCTGGGAGAGGAAGTGGGCCTGTGGACCTGGGGCTGACCGTTGGCTTTCTGTCCTTTGGCCTAGGCAAACTCTCACGGAGGGACTGCGTTACTGCCGACAGGTGCAGAGGGTCAATGGGTCGTGGGAAGGGTAAGTCAGTGGTTTGGGGTCTGGCTGGGCGTGCCCCGTCCACCCTTCTTTCCTTGTCTTTTCTCTGGAGAGCCTGACTGGAGGCCCCTTCAGCCCCGGGGGATCTCTTCTCCCAGCCTGGTGGTGCTGCCCGGGCCTGAGCCATGAAGCTCTTTGGGCCCGAAGGCTGGAAGCCTGAGGATTCTTTGTTGGGAGCACTTTGGGGTGCTCTGGTTTGTGGAGCTCGTCAGACCGCTAAGCTCACTGCATGTTGAAGCCGGAGGGGGTTCTCATTCCTTCTCCTTTTCCGCCAGGTCCTGGGGAGTGTGCTTCACCTATGGTACCTGGTTTGGATTGGAAGCGTTTGCGTGCATGGGTCATACTTACGATGGTAATGGGTAAGTGGCGCATTCCTTTCCCAGCTGCCATCTGAGATTACAGAGCAAAGTGCGTGCATGACTATTGGAAGACACTGTAGGGTCAGGGTCTCTTTGAAAAGCGGCCTTCTGGAATGTTGGGTTCCCTTTAAATGTGCAAGGTAGATAGCAGAGAGGGTTGAGAGCTGGCTTTGGCGGGTCACTGCCCCTCACAGGGCTCTGGCAGCTTTGGCAGACTGCGTGGCAGACAGTTTCAGGTTGGCATCAATGGAAGGGCCTTTCTGTACCGGGATACACCGTGAAATCCCAGCTCTCGATCCCCCAACCAGCCCCACTCTGATTCATTGATCAACCGAAGAGCGGGACGCTGAAGAAGGTGCCCCTGCCAATCACTGGCAGGTGGACGCTGAGGTTATTACAGTTGTTTGCGGTGATTAGGCAGAGATGGGGCTAAAGGGTGTAATTGTGCCCAAGGGACTCCCCCAGAGCCTCGTTCCTAGCCGGAGGGAGGGACCTCAGACACGTTTGAATTTGCCTTCCTGACCGGCAGCTCCAGGATGTGTAGCGTGTGTGGACATGGCAGTGTCCCCTTTCTGACTCTTGAGCAGGCTGGCGTGAGCTGCACGGAACAGTCTCTGGCGCACAGCCCTCATTCCGTTAGCCTTCACTCCTGAGGACTTTGTGTTACTCTCCCGGTCACCAGCTCGGCTTTAGCTTTGACCCGAGCTAACCCAAGGCCCCTCCTCCCCTGACTGCTGCCCCAGCAGTGCCTCGGGTGGAGGCAGCTTCACCCTTCTGTGACCTGTGACCGTGGTGTTTTTGATGGCTCTTGGCTTCTCTTGGTTAGGGATGCCTGTCCGGAGGTCAGGAAGGCCTGTGAATTTCTGCTTTCCAAGCAGATGGAGGATGGAGGCTGGGGAGAGAACTTTGAGTCCTGTGAGCAGCGGCGATACATACAGAGCGACACATCCCAGCTCTTCAACACCTGCTGGGCCCTGCTGGGGCTCATGGTGGCCAGGTAGGAGGCGCGAGGAGGGGCGAGGCAGCGCCAGGCCCTGTGCTAGTAGGCCCGTGGTAATAAACACCTAATGAATGCTTGTTGCCTTGGACTCCAGAGGGCAGAGGTGACCGGATGGCCCCAGATCTGAGGCCCTCCCTGAGGATCTAGGCCAGTGATCTCCCTTGCCCACAAAGCCTCTCGGCAGCATGGACAAGGCTTTTCCTAGCCCTCCTAGCTCAGAGGTTTGGGGCCGGAGTTTGGAGTCTGTGGATAGATTTCAAGAGTAGGGTAAAGGTTGACCTTTGTCTTCACTCACATCTAATTGCAAGTTAGCATTTCCTTTAATGACGAATGTCGCTAACCTTGTGGGATACAGATGATTAAGAAGCCCCAACCTCAGCTGCCGTGGCCGCTGTGTGTCTCTCATCTAGGCTCTTCTCTCCCCCTTTAGAATGGCGGCTCCTTGAGGGACTGCGCTAGTTGTGGTTGTCCTTTGTGTCCCCAGCCCTTGGGAAATGCCATGGCACGACTGACCTTCTGCCTGGGCTGGGCTCACCCCTTGTACTAGTTCATACACACATACGCACCTGCCCATGCTCTTCCGAATCCCTTATCATCCTGGGCTTCGAGACCAAAGCCTGCCCAGCCGTCCAGTGCTCCTGGGAATGCTTGGGGGATCCACGTTGGACCTTTCCTCTTGGGGATAGGTGCCCAGTCCTGAGGTTCCTGGGGCCAAAAGGAGGCACAGCTGAACCCCTCTGCAGTCAGGCGCCATATTTTTTTCAGATTTGTTGGGCCCGATCACTAAAGTACCAGCAGTACTTCAGTGCGTCTGTCTTCCCTTAGGCCTGATTCCATTTCCTGTCGGTTTTGCTCATATGAAGGAGACTCTCAGGTCAGCAGTCCTTTCTCCAAAACAGCTGACTTTTCTTTTCTTTTTCTTCTTTTTTGGTAGGCATCCCGATATGGAGGCCATTGAGAGAGGAGTGAAGTGTGTGCTTGGAAAGCAGCAGCCGAATGGAGATTGGCCTCAGGTAGAGCAGGCATGGCCCGGGCTGGCCACGGGGACAGCGGGAGGGAAGCCCTGGCGTCTGGAGCATTCTCCCGCCGTGGCCTTGGGGGCCGTGGTCTTTCACTATTGTGAACATCCCTGTTCTCTTTCTGTCCCTGTCTGTCTTTAGGAAAACATCGCCGGGGTCTTCAACAAGTCTTGTGCTATCAGCTACACGTGTTACAGGAATGTTTTTCCCATCTGGACTTTGGGCCGATTTTCCCACCTGTATCCTCACAGCCACCTCGCTGGTGAAGTCATGATGTGAACCCTACGCACGGGGAGCCAAGGCCAGGGCAGAGCCATCAGCACAGATCGTGGAGAGAAGCGTGGTGGGATGTGGGCGCATGGTCACCTTTGACTCTGCGTCTGGTTGGACTCTGCGGGTCACCCCCCAGATGTCCTCTGGTCAGCCTGAGACTCTTTGTTCACGGAGGCCCTTCTGTAAAAGGGAAGACGGAGCATCCTCAGATCCTTCATTCTTTGTGTCTTGTGCGCCACGAATGGTATTCTTTTTGGTAGGACGTGTCTGTCTGCCCGTTGTCTCTGCCTTGCGAGGATGTGCACATCTTTGGCACTCAGATCCTTGCCAAATGCAAACTCTGGCTGCCCTGGGTTTTCCCTCTGTCTCTCCCCAGAAGAATCATTCTTGAGGAGCTGGGCAGGTTTGTGGAAATCTCTAGGGGATGGATGGCTTGGTGTGGACACAGGAACTCTTGGGCTTATGTGGCACTGCCAGCTTCTCCCAGGGCCCATGGCTGCTCCTGGGCTTCCTGGTTGGGCCCAGCAGCTGGTGCTTTAAACATTTATTTTTTAACATTTCCACATGTCTTTAAAGGCCTCACGGAAGGCACAGCCACTTTTTTATATACAAGTGGGATTTTTTAATAGATGTCCATCGAGACACGAGCTTCCAGTATGATAGAGCCAGTGGGAAACTGGAAGTAATCTTGTTTCCTGGACTCTTCCTCGGCCCTCCGTGAGGTCAGTCAGCCTCCAGCACAAGGTTAACTGGCCAGCGATGTTTATGGTCTCTGCTCATTTTCCTGGCGTAGTGGGCGCTGCTTGGCATGCCCGCCTCACCCATCCTGGAGTTGGTAGGGTTATAGGTCTAGAGTTGGAACTTTTTGATGGTAGCCCATGTTCTTGTTTCGGATTCAGGGTCTCCTTTTATTATCTGTATTTTAGAACCTGCTGATTCTTGAATATCTCTGATTTTTGCTCCTCATGGACCTACTATGGTATCCCCCGGGTTCTCTTGAATGGGAAGCAGAGGGCGCCCCTCCCTGGCCGGAGCGCCCGGCTCCTCCTCCTGAGCTCCCAGAGGACCTGGTGCCGGGGGAGGAGGCGCTCGCCCCCACCTTCTCAGGAGACGCATCGCCAGCCAGGGTGTTGTTTGCGTCCCCAGCTGAAGCTTCTTTTCGCTCTTGTGCTGGTTTTCTCTCTTCGCATGCTGCTGGGGTTCATGCCCGCCGCTTAGGCCTTGTCTTCTCAGCCTTGCTTCTTGGCAATCTGCAGCCGATGGGTGGATGGGCGTTCCTTGCCTCTTGCTTGTCCCAGCACCCCAGAAGCACCAGAATCCCTTGTGCTGGGGCAAATCGCTTCTTTCTCACCGATCCAGATGTGGTGCTGACTGACCCGCACTGGCTTCAGTTCCTCCCCCAGGCCCCATAGAGCAGTAGTGTCCCATTAGGTAATGATGGGACCCCAGCTTAGAGACCGTGCTGTGCAAAAATGGATTTAGCGGCCCTGTTGGCCATTAGCCAAAGCCTGGAAAAGAACCCACGTCTCCAGAGGTAGGGAAAAGCTAAAAAACTGGAATCACTAGGTCAGAGGTCACCCCACGGGCCTGTTTGTCCGAGGCTGCACCGGCATTGTGTTGGCTATCGGCCAGTCTGGTGGATGGGGGATGGTTGGTCTAAGGGGTTTTTCAGTCAGATAAAGGTAAATTTCAGAAAATGGACAGATTTCTTTTGAAAACTGTTGCCTATTAAAATTCTTTGGTGACCTATCTTGGGGAATGGATCATACTCTCAGAAAGGTGTGTTAGCTCCTTATAGATTTTGGATTTTTCCACCTTAACCTGGTATTTCTCTTTGTTTTGGGTACTCGGGCTTTTTTGTTGTTAAGCAGAGTGTGTTTGTACAGGATGAAATCCGTCTGTCTGAACTCTTCAAATCGAGTACTTGTTGAATGTTGCTAACATTTCCTACCTCTCCATGATTGTGATAGAGCAAACATTGCTTTAGCTTCTGATTTGGGTCCTGTATCTTTATGACATTCAATCATTGGATAGAACGTGAGCTCCTTGAGGGCAGACGCTGGGTTCTGGCTCCTGGCACGGGACCCTAGATGCTTTGTTAAGTGTTTGGTGATTGGTTTAGAACTGATGGGGGGTAAAATGGGTTGGGACGATGTCAAAGAGTTTTTGCCTTTCTGAAAGGGGCGTAACGAACGACTTAATCTCCACATTTGAGGATTTCCCTGCATATGCCAAAGCCCAGCCTTCTCGATGGTTTGGCTCTTGCCCTGGCTAAGCACGTCAGCACCGTGTTCGCACTAGTTGCAGCGAGCGATGCCAGCTGGCCGAGGGTATGATTGCAAGCTGGCGGGCAAAGCTGCTTCCCGAGTTGTTCGCCCACCTCCGTTTTGTTCTCCCCTCATGTAATTGTTAAGGGAAACCTTTGCTGTTTCCATTAGCGTTTCATCGTCTCCAGGTTGATCTGTGTGGCTGCTGTTTCGCTGTATTGTTACAATGTGGCCGATCCCAGGGCCGTTCCTCCAGTTAACCAGTAGGACCTGGAGGCCTAGCGATGGTTAGTGCCCAAGTACACTGATTTTTGAAGCAGATGACCTTTCCCTTTCTGTCCTTCCTTCTGGGGTTTGTCAGGGCTGACATGGCCAGGGCTCTTTGTCTTGGGTTCTGCTATTTGGGCTACTCTGTTGTGGAGTCTCTTGGCTATTCTAAATAAAACATTGGATTATTTAACACAGTGGTTGTCTTGGCTGCTTCTCTTTTATCCCTATGACCTCGTCCCGTTGTAATGGGCGGTGACCTGCCCTGCTCACTCCCATCCCCAGTGGGGAAGCTTCTGCTGTCTGGCTGGGTGTTTAGTCCTCGCTTGTGGTTTGAGGGAAATAAAATTTGTTCATAACGTCACATGTGGTTTTTCTATCCAGTCTTTTTTTCCATCTTTTGATATAAACATGATTTTTATATTTGTTTAAAAATGGATCTAGGGGGCAGCTAGGTGGCACAGTGGATAGAGTACCGGCCTTGGAATCAGGAGGACCTGAGTTCAAATCCAGCCTCAGCCACTTAACACTTACTAGCTGTATGACCCTGGGCAAGTCACTTAACCCCATTGCCTAGAAAAAACAAATAAACAAAAAAAAATTGATCTGATTTATTCCTGTCTTTTGCCCATGTTTTTGCATTGACATTTATTAATAGGGTTGAACTTCATTTGAAGATGAGGACCATGATTTGGCTTCTTCGATGAGCCTTTCTCCGTTTTTGGAAGCAGTTTATAGAGGAGAGAGGGATTGTTCTTTGACTATTTGATGGAATTCTCTCTCGGGAAGCCATTTTGTCTGGTGCCTTTTGGCGGCTTTCCTGAGATGGGTTTGCTTGCTTTATTTACTCTTTTGCCCATTTAGGTATTTTACGTTTTCTAAAATACTCTTTTCTTTTATGTTTTGTTGGCATTTAGCTTTGTGTAAGCATTCTCTGAGTCTTCTTTCTTCATTAGTCAGTTGTCAGGGAGCTTCTGACTGTCCATTTGACTGTCATCTCTCTCTAACATTTGCTAGTGTTTGACTGCCGTGAAAACTTGAATTCTCAATGTCTTTGTTGGAGTCTCCTTCCTCCGGCCTCTCCTTGGATTCAGACGATGTTGCTCAGTCTTTCCCACCCCCACGTCTTCTCTTAGCTACTCGAAGGCTGACTCTTGTCAGTGTGCTACAGCCATAGGGTGGGGGGAGACGGCATCGTGCTTATCTCCCTCCCAGCGGTCCACTGGGCCAATATCCCCCCTTCCCCCTCTCCCCAGAGACTGAGGCCTGCCTGCCAGCCTGCCAATGGCTGTGTCCTCTGCGCCCTGCCGGCAGACTCAGCGATCAGGTGCGAGTTGGCCGTGACCTGCGTGCTTTCTGCTCTCAAACCTGGGAGGCCTGCCTTGGTTGCGTGGTGTCTGGCCACTTGGGTTCAGGACTCAGTTGCCCTTCCAGAGACACCTCCCCCAATCCTTCTTGTCCCAGGCTGACGTCCGGGTGGTTTGGGGCAAGGTGCCCTGCCCTCCTTCCCTAGACACCTCCGACCGGAGCCAATCTCCTTTGAGCCCAAGATGGGCTTGAATGAGGGAGGTCATACCTGGGGTCTCACCATCGACGCTGCAGTGTAGAATGCCCTGTGTGAGGGTCCTGCAGCCCCTGCCTCATCCACTGTGCCCTCTCCCTTCCCAGCTCCGTTTTCAAGGGCTCTCCAGGCCTGTTCATTTGAAAGCGTGTCGTCCCCCCAAAACCTGTCACCCCTCTTCCTATGCCTCCTGAAAGACAGGGAGGAAGGGAGCCTTGTCTCCTGGGAAGCAGCTGGGCCTGCCAACCATCAGAAGCTTCACCACGACATCGCTGCGCACTCGGAATCTCAGAGTCTGCCCCAGCCACCCTGCACCTGAAGGAGAAGGCCCAGGAGTGCTTCCCCAGCCTCCCATCCAAAGGTACGTCCACTCATCAGTTTCCATGTTCCCTCCATTGTGGGTCTGCCCCTGCCCCCAAGAACGTGGCAGACTAACAAAAACTTGAAGACGGCGTGTCCCAGAGCTGTCCCCTGCCTCGCTATCCCTGTTCCATCCTCAGCCGACCCTCGGATGGCCTCCCTTCACCAGCCTGATTGCCCTTCTCGGGATCCTCACAGTCTTAACACTGCCTTTCCCAACTTGTGGTGCCCAGGATAGGGGCCCCCTGCTGTTGGATGGCTTTCCGGCCTGCCATATCTCCTTGTTAGTGCTCATCGAGCTTGCTGTCTGCTAGGACCTCTGGGTTTTCTTCAGCTCATTGCCGTTTCACTGTCCACACCCCATCCGGCACCTGGGAGGTAGAATCTTGAATTTAAGTCAAAGTCTTTATCCCTATTACATTTCATCTTACTCGCTGGGTCTCGTGCTCTTGCCTGTCGAGACTTGAATCCACTCCTTCGCTGCGGACCAATGCAGAAAGAAGCCTGGTGTTCATGATGTCCTCACAACCTCTCCTCCTGGACCCAGCCTGGGCCCCAGACAAGCCACCTGGGCTTTATTTCCTGGGGAAACGGGAGTCTCCAAGGCTCTGAGAGCCAGGTTTTGGTGTCAGTACATAACATTTTGGAAGTGGGGAGTGAATTAGGCAACAGCCTGGAAGAGTATTAGGGAGAGTGTGGACTGAAGGCAGGAAGGTCAGTAAAAGAAGCTTTAAAAATGTGGGTGGAGGAGATGGGGGGCCACGGGGGCAGAATGTGGCATTCACTGTCAGATGCAGTCTGTGGGTCAGCTGGTTTTGTCACAAGGGAAGGTTCAGTGGGTTGGGGCACAATTATATTCAGAAATGACTCATGTAAACAAAAGGCATCAATAAAGTGTGTTTTTTCAAAGGTGAGAAGAGGTAAGGGCCTGGTCTGGAGTGATTGTGGGGGAGGAGCAAGGACGCGGTACAGGTTCCAAAGAGACAGAGGCAGAACCGATGGAGGGAGGAGCCAAAGGTGACTGCCCCCCTCCCCCCAGAGGCAGGGAAGATGGGGAAGCCATCGGCGGATGGAGCGGCTCCGGGCAGAGGAAGAACCCCATTTTGAGCCTGTCTGTTTGAGGTCCCTGTAGGCCGTCCTGGGAGAGCCCTCTCCCTGGCATTTGGCCCAAGGTAGATGTGAATTTGGGGGTCCTCTGCGTCCAGGTAATAATTGAAGCCATAGAAACGTGTGAGATCACTGGGGGCAGGGGGAAAGGATGGAGAGAGAAGCAGGACAAGGGAGCGTAAGCACTCGGCAGTGGAAGGAAGACCATGAGGGTGCAGCGTCCCAGCAGCCGAAGGAGGAGCAGGTACTGGGCAGGCAGGGTGAGCTGCAGCCTCCCCAGGGGACATCTTTCCATCGCCTTTCGGCCCGTCTGCAGTTTGGTTTTCGTGAGATTGTGCCGTTCCGTGATTCGTAAGAATAGAGCGCCCTGGAACGTGGTGGCTGCAAAGACTCGGTCTTTGGAGGCATCAGTGAAAGCATTGCCCCACCTCTTCCTGCAGCTGTGGGATCGTAGCTAGAAGGGACTCCAAGGCTGCCTAGTCCACTCTTTTGTCATCCACTTTGCTCTCTCTGTGTGGATGGCTAGAGTACTCCTCTGAGGAGGCTTTGCGGTGTTGCAGGGCGGGAGGCCATCGGTCCAATGTCCTCCATTAAGAGGAGCATTGGAAGAGACTCCCCATCGGTTGACGGGGTTCGCTCTTTGCTTCTGACATGGGTGAACCCGCGTGTTCGAGGAGCCTACGTCCCTCCATCATACGCCTCACTCGATGTCAGTCCTTGGGACTGTTGAACGAAGCTGCCCTCATCCGGGGTCACCGAAGCCCAAGCTCCTTTCGAGTACAGCAAGGCTCCTAGAGTTACAGTTAACGAACATTTCAGCCCTTGGTACTGGTGGTATAAGAGATTTAGGTCAACTAAAGATTTAGGTGGGGGGAGGGTGTATTTTTATAGTGCATCGAGACGTTAGGTGTACATTTGTCCCCTTTTTGTAGGGCTTGAAGCATCATTTTACTGTGTTACATCCTAGGAGATTATGGGTGAGGGTCTTTCGAGAGGGAGAGAAGCAACCCAATTTTTTTGTCTGTGGGTGGTTCTGTGGCCCTCGGGATCTAGAAGAGCAAAAAACCTGGGACGTTAATTAAGAAAGTTCTTTGTTGGAAGCTCTGTAGAGGGAAGCCCTGGTGGGGACGAGCTGTGGGTGGACTCGAAGACTTCCCAGGCTCCTTCCCAAGCCGGGCAGGGCCTTGGGAAGGGTAACTGAGGGGAGGGAACTGCCAACCGGGAGCATGTGCTGCCCAGCTCTGTTTCAAGACCCACGGCCATATCTCCTCACGTGAGCTGCTGCCTGGTTTTCAGGCTTCCTTGACAGTCGCTCAGAGCCTGGGGTTGGGAGTTGGGACCTGGGTTCAAATCTCGTCTCTGGCCCTCACAAGCTGGGAAACCTTGGATTTCCCTTTTCTGAGGTTTTATTTTCCCACCTTTAAAATGAATGAGCTGATCTTTGATCCTTCCAACTCTGAATTCGATTCTGTGGCTCGAATGACCTCGCCTATCCCTCTGTGACTGTGGGCAGGATGAGTGTGATGGCTGCTTCTGCTTGCTGGGGAGCGCATGACTTCAGCTGGCCAACTGGCCCTGTGGGGGGAGATTTCTGCTAGGGATGGGTCTCCACGATGTCCTTTAGCTGAGCTCCGGCGAGCTGTGGCTCAGTGCCTGCCCGGAGCCAGAGCGTTGAGGTCCTCCTCCGAGGAGGAAGGAGGCTTGGGCCTCTCCCCTCGGGTCTTCTCTGACCTCGCCTGTTCCTTTAAGGCTGTGTGACATCACAGGCCTGTAGAAGCCCCGTACTTGTCATGGAACATTAAAGTATTTGCCGACTTCTTGAGTATGACCTGAGAGCCATCTTTCCACCTAAAAGTAGTGAAGGAGCCTTGCGTAACTCTCCTTTAGGGAAGAGAAGAGGGCTATGGCAGAGGGGAACGAGCTGATGAACAGACTGATGAGCGAGAACGCCGACCTGAAGAAGCAGGTCCGGCTGATGAAGGAGAACCAGATGCTGAAGAGGATCCTCAGCGAGAGCTGCCACGAGCACAGCAGCCGCAACCGAGACGGCCGCGACACCCGCGACTTCGTCTTCCCCAAAGTCCCAGGATACCCCGAGGCCTGCTCCCCTGGGGCTGGAGGTAAGTGGGAGGTGGCTGTGGTGCGGCTGGTGGGCAGCGGTCCGAGGCC